ATATATATAGTCACACTCGCAGATTCCTCATCTTCAACGTTTACAAGTTTTATTTATAAAAAGCATCTATTTAGAGATTTCTAATGGTGTTATAAACTTTATTTCAGGGGTGTTGGTGTGGTCAGGTAGTTGCTAGGTAATTGTTTTTAAAATACCCAAACCCGAAAGTAAATAAATAGAACAACGGCGTCCTTCGATAAGTTAACAAACGCAACCCAATGTGATTTTACCTATAGTTGTGAATTAATTAGTATTAATTAACTGCCGTCCTTAGTGAATGAGGCATGGATTTATGGCAGGTGATTTAAGGTCGTCAAAAAAATAAAATTGTGTTGCTAAAATTGGAATAAATGCTTAATGATAGGTTTAAAAACATAAGTTTATCCATGGTTGCTTGGAGCTACAGAGTGAAAACAATAATTAAAAAAAAACCCTGCCAATGCTACCCCAGTTGACGGTATACGTGCTGCCCTTTTTTGCAGTCGGTGGATTACTGTTTTATTTTTATTGCTACTATTTCTCCAAAATGAAATACCATAATCCATACATGGCTGTATTGTTGCTAGATATAGTTTTGTTAATAAACTTTTATGTAAAGTTAGGCTTGATTCAAGTGTAGATTCAGTTTAGCACTTGTATATCTTGTTCCTATGTTAAATTTTCATCAATTTGGAGTCCGAAGTATCTAATATGCTGTACGTTTTCAAGGTACTGGTTTCCAAGACGAATGCTTAGCATATTATTATGTGAATAACTTGTTTGTTTTTATTAACATACTTTTATTTTTGTCTGTATTAATTTTTAATTTATTTATAATGTAACATTCCTGAACATTAACTGTGTGTTGGATGGTAACATTTATTTCGTCCATGTTTTTCCTGACACATATAAAAGAACGTGGTATGTACTGCAAGAACCATGAGTTATAGATTGTGTGATATGTCGTTAATGAAAATAAGGAAAAGGACCGAGACTACAAAATTGCGGGATTCCAATTTCAATGTCTTTTTTCCTTGGTATGGTATTTCCATATTTGGCAACTTTCTTTCTTTTACTAAGATAATTTTTTGAACCAGTTTATCTCATTATTATTTATACCATAGTTGATTTTTTTTTAAGCAAAAGAGTGTAATCTACGGTATCGAATCATTTTGAAATAATCTAAAATGCATGTTCCAATAATTTCATGATCATTTACGATTCTATTCAATCGTCAACAACCCTATGTAAGCTCGTGATTGTTGAACGATCTTTTCTAAACGCATATTGGTCAACATTAAATTGTGTTCATTTAGATAATCGGTTAGTTGAAGGTTGAATCTGTATTATTTTTTCTAATATCTTTGATATGTGACAAACTACCGAAATAGGTTTATAGTTACCGTACTTGACGTATCTTTGTTTCCGTTTTCCTTATATATTGGTGTAGTTCTTGATATCGTCCAATCGGCAGGGATTTTTCCGTTCATTAACGACATATTGTAAATCTTACAAAGAGAATCTGATATGTACGTTGATGCTACTCTTAACAGTTTACTATCAATATCAAGGAGATTAATGCTGCTTCGGCCAGACACATTGAGAAGTGCCTTTTCTACTTCTTCGGTTGCAATATATTTGAAAGAGAATTAGTATCTACATTCTGGATTTTTCCAGTTTGTTTTTTTGTTCATCGAATGAGTGTGATATTTCTTTTCCAATATTGGTAAAAGAGTCGTCAGTTTTAAATTTAGATTAGTAATAATTTTGTCTATATTTTTTCCTGTGCTTTTCTTCATCTCTTCCCATAATTTTTTTTGGGTCGTTTCTATGTTTATGTTCGATTTCAGTAAAATAATCAATCTTTGCTTTCCTTAAAATTACTAGTAACGTCATTTCTTAATTTTCAGTAAGTGTCTAGGTGTCGTTTTGTTTTGTGCTTGTCTGACAGCCTCTTTGTATGATCTCGTTGGTACATCGATTGAATAATATCCGGTGTTATCTATGGTGATAATCTATTTTTTACTCTCGTTGATTTATATGGGGCATGTCAATGTCTATGAAGAAATGTTTCCATTTGTTGCAAACAGAGTTAATATTTTCATTATGAGTTACAAATAAATCACTCGTTTCGTTATTTTCTTATAATTCTTTGTTAAAAGATTCTATATCTAAATCTTCATAATTTCTAAATGTAATTTATTACGCCCAGTTTTCTTATTTCTATATTCAGTACACTGTAAAAACAGCGTGGAGTATTTAAATACAAAGCTCCACGCAATGTTGTCCCGTTTTTTGGTGACACGTTCAAAAGCTAAACGTGCTTAGACATAGCTTAATGCATTTAGGATCTTGACGTGTTTAGCATTAAATGTGCTTAGGTATTTGACATCATGATGTCAAATATCTAAGTACATCTAATGCTAAACACGCCAGAAACCTAAACACACTAGGTCAGAACTAAACACGTTTAGCTTTTAAAAGTGTCACCAAAAACGGGAAAAACATTGCGTGAAGCTTTGTGTTTAAATGTCCCACGCTGTTTTTACAGTGTACATGCGTATAAAATTATGAGTGGTCGCTATGTGCAACCCCATTGAGAACGTTCTGCTATCGTCGATAAAATCAGTACAAGTAGCTGATTTTGTATAATTCTTGTTTGTTCTTTAATTAATTTTTTTTAATTTTTTTTTTTTAATTTCAAAAATATTTATACCGGATTAAAACATATCAGGGTTAATTTGGTTAGTTCGAACATATTTCTGAGTTTATTAATTGTATTTTTGTGAAGGTCAATATCAAAAATATAATCCCGATGTTGAAATCCCCAAACAAAATTATTTCCTTATTTTTCATGGCAGACTTTGTTTAGCATGTTTGTTATCTTGTCAATATATTCGACTTTAGAGTAGGGGGTCGATTTATACATGCTTTCATATATACATGCCTTTATCATTTATTTCGTTCCATGCCACTTCTATTTCTTCGAAATTTAAATTTAAGTCTTCTCTCAGTGAACAAATGGGATTTCATCATTTACATAAATCATAAATCCACCACCATCATTTTTGTTTGTTATGAGTGAATTAAATATATAATATAAAAGATTTATTATATTCAATCACCAAACAGTTTATATTGAAATCCTGAATTACCAGAGTAATTAACATTTTTATCAAAATACCATTCAAACGATGTCAATATTTTCTTTCAATTTAACAACCAAGATTGCAAAAGAGAGAGAGAGAGGGGGGTGGGTTGGGGAGGGAGAGAGAGAGAGCTGTCTCTTATACACATCTAGATGTGTATAAGAGACAGGTATTGTCCATAAAGTAAAATATGTAGAGTAATTGTTTTGCAAATTATATAATAATTATTCTGCTGCTGTTAGCCCAACAACATCGAATTGAATGTAGGCCTGTCATACTGTATTATTAAAGTTCAGAATTTATTTCATTTTACTCAGCTAGGTCTGAAAGTTATCGAGTGTTCATCCTGTCTCTTATACACATCTAGATGTGTATAAGAGACAGACCCTACTTCAAAACAGATAAACTAGTTTCTGATACCATCAACTCATTTACAACACTCATTAATAAACAAATAAAACACTAACACATGTTTTTATGACATTCATTTTGTGCGACTGTACTCGCATCTACAACATGTTCACCAATGCTAGGCCCAAACAGACCG